ATATTTAAAAAAAAACTGTGATAGCCAAAAGCCCTCTTGTTGCATGTACTACCATAGAAAAAATCGCTGCCAAGATCGGTTGACACACCTGCGCAGCTTTTTTCAAAAATCTGTTGGACAGACCCATATATATATAATTTATTTATTTTTATACTCTTGTTTTATTATTTTTTCAGCTTCATAGGATTATAGTCGATCCATCTCAAAAGCAATGCATTGGCTACCTATTACAGGCGGTAATCCAGGTATGTCATTTTACTCACACACACACACACGCGCGTACACACACACACACACACATATGTATGTATGTATGTATGTATGTATGTATGTTTTCAGGTGCTGCGGAACTTAGAGTATGCTGAGTGTTAAGCAAGGCAGCAGTTAACTGCCAAAAGAGCTGCGGTCGAAAGGGCTACAGACAAAAGAGCTACCCGAAACTACGAACGAAATATATATATATATATATATATAATGTAATTACTCACGACAGACAAAATGGTATATAATAAATTATAAAATACTGCTGTCGGAATTCCTGCGGGCAGGTTCGGAGGAGTTTAAAAAGAAAAATAATATAAGAATTTAATTAGAAAGATTAATAAAAAATATACTATATTATTACTACTAACATTAACCATGAATATAATCACGGCGTTGATAGCTTCTATAATCTCGGTTGAATCCATATTTCTTTCTTTCAATAACTAATAACTTCACTCAATAAACACACTTTTCTAATTCCCAAAAAATAAAAAACGAAATCACTAGGATATTAGAAAATAAAGTAAAGTTAGTAGAAGTCTTCTCTTTCAGGACTGGTATATTATTGAAACATTTTCTTAAAATCAAGATGTTTATTTGTTCCTCCCACAAGCTTCCTACTCTCGAAACTCCACCCAAAATTGCGAACATATTGTCAATGGAAGACGTACAGGGTGGGCCATTTTAAATGACCCAGTCGATTTTCTCGGAAACTATGGGGGTTAGCGAAAAATAGTTCAGATGAAAGTTGCCCAACTTTGAGGGGGATATATCCCTGTGACCTTGCATTTAACCTCTAAGGTCTTGTTCAAGGTCATTTGAAGGTCAACTTTGTTTTTTTAAATAGGAACCCCTATTTTTGACCCCGGATTCGGAAAGAGCGGAAAATTCTACGTTTAGATAAGGTAATATGTGTGGGATCCGCATGAACCCCAAGGCCATGTACAGGTCATTTTTCCGGCACGAATAATCTGGGACGCCTAAGGTTAAGCGTAAACTCTTCAAACAAGTTTCTTCAACTTTCAAGGGTACATATCTGTATGACCTTGCCTTTGAACTTTCAGATTATGTTCAAAGTCATTCCGCCTTCATCTTCGGTTACAGACTAAGCTTTCGTTTTTATGTTTTTCTCATTAAAGAATTATGTAGATATTTATTGTCATATTCTGACATCACCATTCCAAAATTCAGATGATAATCTTAAAGTTATTATTTGTATTTTGTAATTACATAAAATCAGAATGATGTTACATGTAAATTAAATATTCATTGCAAAAAATTACTAATGCAACATCATACTACAAATGTATGAAAAATTCTTCAACTTAACAAAAACAAAATAACTTCAATTCCTTTACGTTCCAAATTTTGGAAAGTCATCAAAAGGAAATTAATCATGAAATTTGAGTAATTTTTCAAATTTTCTATTTCCATCAGTCTTGGAAGTTCCGATTGAAATTACGTAATCTTAATTTTGTTAGGGACTAGTCATAATAATTATCGTTCTGCAGCTAGACTTTACGCTGAACGATTTTCTCACCGACAACACCCAGATCATAGACGAATAAGTCACATAACTCAGAGAGCTCGTCGTGGACGTTTGGTTAGGCAACGCAGGCGTCATGTGTATGACGCAAATGATGTACGTGTTCTAGTTGTTCTTGCAATCTTTTACCTTGATCCTCATACCAGCAGTCGCCGAATTAAAAGAGGGCATGGTATAGCAAGAAGAACTGTTTTAAGAATTCTCAGAGTCCTAAAATATCATGCTTACTTTGGTCCAGGAGTTACAACCTGCACATTTCCAACAGCGAATTGCGTTTTGCCAATGGGCCTTACAGATGATACAGAATGATCCAATTTTTTTCAACTATGTCCTTTTTTCTGATGAGGCTAAATTCCAAAGTGACGGAGAACTTAATAGGCATAATTGCCACTATTGGTCGAATGAAAATCCTCATTGGCACAGAACTGTGAATCACCAGCGGCGTTGGAGCCTGATGGTTTGGTGTGGAATCATCAATGGTTATTTGATCGGTCCTTATTTTTTTGAAGAAAACGTTAACGGGAATAGTTATTTACAGCTAATAAGAGATCAGTTACCTGCAATGATGGAAGATGTTGATTTACACACGTGACAAAGAATGTGGCTTCAGCAGGACGGTGCTGCACCACATTTCGCTCGAATTATACGGGCTTTTTGGATGAAAACTATAATGGTAGATGGATCGGACGAGGAGGTCCAGTTAACTGGCCTGCAAATTCACCTGACCTCACATCTCCAGACTTTTATTTATAGGGCTATTTGAAAAATGTTGTTTTTGAACAGCAGCCGACAACTAGAGAAGACATGCAGGATCTCATTCGCCGAGCATGCGCTGAAATACCAAGAGAAACTTTGCTTGGCACTGTGCACCATTTCCAGAGGCGGTTCGATTTATGCCTCCAAGCAAATGGAGGTAACTTCGAACATTTGCTTCGAGGTTAAATGAATGATATTTAGAATATGCTTAATAAATGACTTCGTAAATAGCAGACATAAGTTGTATTTGACCTTGTAATCCTCCGGTACAATAAAATAAACATTACAATTTTACTTTGTTCTAATTTCGAACCCTGACCTTCACTCATATTACCTCATCTGAACGTAGAATTTTCCGCTCTTTTCGAATCCGGGGTCAAAAATAGGGGTTCCTATTTAAAAAAACAAAGTTGACCTTCAAATGACCTTGAACATGACCTTAGAGGTCAAAGGCAAGGTCACAGGGATATGTCCCCTTCAAAGTTGGGCAACTTTCATCTGAACTATTTTTCGCTAACCCCCATAGTTTCCGAGAAAATCGACTGGGTCATTTAAAATGGCCCACCCTGTATATAGGTTTCGCTTTAGACACTCAGCATGTGATATATTGTTAGCGAAACTCAAGATGAGGCTAACTTAGACAACTTGTCACTTAGCTTTAAGCATTAAGATAACTATGGAGCGATACTCATAGATTTAGTTTTAGTCGCTCAGCATGCGATTTATAATTATAGCATAGCGCAATCCTAAAATATCAAAATATACAAGTATATCTTATACGTTAGGAAAAGCATGCGGCCCTGAAAAAAGGAGAGCACACGCTGCTAAAATGCATCTTCAATGAAAAAGGAATCTGGATTGCGCTTTCGACCCTCAGCATGAGGTGTAGCGTTATCAGAAAGAGTGCACTATGCTAGAATATGTCTAAAGGATCTGCTGACAGACAAATAGGTGTCATATTATCGCGAAAACGCAACACCTTCATCGGGCGGCCTCTTTATGTTCCTGGACATATACATATCTCTTATTCATTGGCGCTGCTGGAACGCATCTTCAATGAAAAAGGCACATCGATTGCGTTTTAGACGCTCAGTGTGAGGTGTCACGTTATCGCGATAATACAGAGAGCTGTCACGATATCGCCATATCGCGACACCTTCATCGGGCGACCTCTTTGGGTTCCTGGACATACATTGCTTATCTCACGGTGGGTCTGAGCGACATTTAAATAAAAGTGAAAGCAGGTTCCAATTTTTTTGCATATTTCGGTAAAAATACTAATAATTAGAAGATCCCAGAAAGAATTAAAAAAAATCCCTGAGCCCTTTTTGGAAAAATCGATTTTTAAAAATTTTTATCAAACAAAAAAAATAAAAAAATAATTTTGGTTGTGGTTGATGGTATTAATAAATAAATCAATATTTTTTCGATATTTCCACAGATGCACATTTAATAATAAAAAATTCAACACCAGCATTTTGAAAATTAATTTTTTTTTATTTATTGACTGTTTTTACTAATTTTTATCATAATTTAGTGAGTTACAACATGTTGTAAAATTAAATTCTAAATTCTCCAATTTCTCGAGAAACTTTCCACAAATTTTTTTCAGTTTAGCCTTCTTTTTCTGACAAACCAAACAAATTTTCAAACGATTCTCAGAGTGCGTTAGTGCACGTTGCTTCATGTTGCTAATTCAATTATTTTGAAGAAACACAGAACGTTAACTACAACAAAATTCTTATTGTATTTCTTATCACGAGAACACTATTACTGGCAGATTTCATTGTTGATCGGTCAATCAAGCTGGGACAACTGTGAAAACTTTTGAGCGCGCTATTCTAGCTACTACTTCCTTAGATACAGGTGCGCGCTGTAAACACACATGTTTACAATACTGCTATATCCTTATCGTATGTATACTATTAATAAACACTGATATTTATATATACATGTGTTTCTCCATTAATATGATTGTGTATGGGAGAATAGAGAGATAAAAATTAGTAAAAACAGTCAATAAATAAAAAAAAATTAATTTTCAAAATGCTGGTGTTGAATTTTTTATTATTAAATGTGCATCTGTGGAAATATCGAAAAAATATTGATTTATTTATTAATACCATAAAACACAACCAAAATTATTTTTTTATTTTTTATGTTTGATCAAAATTTTTAAAAATCGATTTTTTCAAAAAGGGCTCAGGGATTTTTTTTAATTCTTTCTGTGATCTTCTAATTATTAGTATTTTTACCGAAATATGCAAAAAAATTGGAACCTGCTTTCACTTTTATTTAAATGTCGCTCAGACCCACCGTGATCTACTCTTGTAAACTTTGAAATTAATATAAAAAAATGTTATATCTATCTTGAATGTTACATTAAGTAATTTCAAATCATTGATATTTTTGGGTAAGTGTATACCATACTTACTTCTGAATGTAGCGATATATTATTTTGAACCATGGAACTTAAGCTAACATCATGGTATGTCATGTCTAACTCATGAAAATTCAATGTAGATTTAACTGGACATAAAGCCCATCCGTCATTTTCTAGATATGTTTTTAATTCATCAAGTTGACAAACTTGATAAAAATGTAAATATTGTAAAAATTTTTTTTTTAAAAATTTATAAAGCTCATCTTCTTCTTTGTGTTGAATCAACGATTCATTTTTTGATAGTCTGTAAATAACAGATTATTACAATAATCAATAGATAGAAATGTGAAATTTCGACTTACTCTTTAATTATAATTAAAGCGTCAAAAAAATCCTCAATCTTTAATGTTTTTAAATCGAAGCCATCCAAATAAGTTTTTATTTTTAATCTTATATCGCAGCATATTTTAATAATTCCATTTTCAAGAATCTGTGAAACGTATTGCTGGTTCATAATTGATAACTTGTCGTTGCAGTCATCATTTTTCATTTTATTATCCTGATCATTATGCCATTTTATAAGAAGGCAGTAAGAATTGAGAATATTCAATAAGGATTTACATAATTCAAGTAAACAGGGAATAAAAGAAGATATTGGAATCAGTCTGCATATTGTAGAAAACTGTTTGCAAACGTCAGTTTTCACATATTTAAGAATACATGTTAATGATGCATTATGTATTGCAGCTATAAAATACATATGCAGTTGATCAATCGTTGCTTGAGATTTTCCGAGAAGGCTATATGTCGTAAAAATTGATGCATAAATATTTATGTCAAAGTGTTCACTGATATTAGACAATGATATATCTAAATTGGTTTCAACTTGTTCCAGTATATCACTTAGATTTTGATGTAAAGCTGTGACACAAATATACTGTCTTTGATTTTCCATAGCTTTTTGAAATTCTAAAATTAAAGATACTAATTTAGGATAGCTTTTATCAATAAGCATTTGCTGGAGTCGCTCCAAAACACGATGCTGAAATGAATGAAATAAAATATTATTACTAGGAAAATAAAATACAATATTTGTAAATCAATTTAATTATTAAAATGCATTTGCGCATGATTTATAAAGGTATCAATTTTTTTGTTTTAAAAAATAATGAAATTATTATTCTTAGCTAGGAGTTCTACTAAGACCGACACGGCTTAATTCAAAGTGAATATGAGCGCATGGATTCGAAAACTACGATAACCAATGTTAGAAGCAAGCGCGAGTGCGAGTAACTAATCGTCTGAAATAATCTCTTGAAGTTGAGATAATACGAAAAATATAAAAATTACAATATTACAAGATTATTTTCTAGGTAAATCGTAACAAATGAATATTCATTAAAGAGCGCACGTGTAATAAGGATCGACTGTGACGTTAAATAGCAAGTGCGAACTTGAGAGAAAGGTTGATCGAAAATTCGGGAGCGCACCAGGGAGAAGTATGCGAGCGCACCGTGAAAGGAGAAGAGCGGCACATGACTATAAACGATGATTCGTACTGTTTCGACCGGCAAGCCGAACGAAAAAAAAAGTTGGTTTCCTTCATTTCCACTCCTTTTCTCTACTCCTCACCGGAAAGAATTGGTTGGTTGCAACGTCACATTTCGTGGGTGCTATTGTGAAGAAAGTATGAGGGGACTAGTTATAAAAGTACATATGTAGAGGGCTGGACGTCCGGTGCTATTCATAATGAGAAACTTATATTCCGAGCCGTCGCCCTTCGGAGGCCCCGATAATAAGAAGAATTCATCGAAACACAGACCTGAATTAGCACTACTGCCAAGCTACGACAGCATCATTATTTGCAGCGATGACGCGAGTAACCAGGTAAGCGAGTGAAAGTTTCTCGAACGTTTTCTTTGTTTTTGTGTACGTCGTGACTTAAATTAGCTCGCGTGTATTTTCATTTTCTATCTCTCTCTCTTATTCGTAGTAATCAACAAGTGCGGTTTATTGATATTTGTATTTACTGCATGCGCCTAAACTTCTCCGCTAAAACTATTGTGTTTTGTTCCTTATATGAAAATAAAATAAAATTCGCATTTTTTCACTCTAATTCATGTATCCCATTATGTTCGTCCATCTAACATCCTATTTTAGGTGATAATTCGTGGGAGGCGAATTGCACCGTATACAGGCCTTCCTTACAGCCGAGCGGCCTTTGACTCGGGGCTCTCAAGCTATCGGGCTTCCCGGCCCGTTCGCGCGTCAAAAATAAATTTGCTCGGGTTCGTATCCCGAGCTTCGCTTCCTCAATCGTAATTATAATTTTACTCGTTTAATTACACAGCCGGGAAAACATATGAATGGACTTATGCTGACTGTACTTATAAGTTTATTTTAAATATTATTTTTACAGTAAAAGTGAACAAACAAGCGTAGATAGAGAGAGAGAGAGAGAGATATTTATGTATACGTAGAATCGAACGTGTTCGTCTCGCCATGCGGAGTCTGTTATTTTATATAATATATAGATGCTACTCACTCTTGCTAATCTGATCCGTTATATATATTTTTGTTAATTCGAAATTAAAGTTTTATTTTGGTTCTTCCATTCTATATGGTCACAATGGCCCAATTTCAATTTTTTATGGATTCCAATGATCTCCTTGATATTGATTAGTTTTTAATGCGAATTTCGATCTGTGGTAATAACTACTTTCGGCACCTTTTGTTATATTCTTATATATCGAAATTTGATAAATAATACACTTTATTACTTTTTTCTTAATGCAATTTCTGTTTGAATTAATCTTTTAGAAATGTGAATCGAATATTTTACCAAATGTAAATTTCTCTAATACTTTACTGACTATTGCAGAGATGCGCAGCCTAATTAATCAGGCGCTTGCTACTAACTGAATTACTCTGCTCGTTCTCACCGTTTGTTTATATATCTTTTTTCCTCTCTCATTCCTCACATTCCATCTCTCTTTAGTGCATACATTTTAATTGTTTCGTATTACTTAGACTAGGACGCTGAGTGCAGTATTCTGTCGCAGAATACCGCAGCAGCATGCTCAGCGTCTCCTACTCGCTGCCGTCAAGGTGCGCACACGAGTGGAACTCCCGAGAGTCTAATCAAGCATACGGTTGCATAAAAAAAACAGAATAGTCCGTCACGTAACATCCTACTAATCCACGCTGGCAGTAGAGAACCAAAACTTTTTTTCTTGATTTGCTTCGTGTTTTTGCGCTTATTTTCAGCTGCGCAAAACGTATGCCCTTTAGCACCGAGCATACCAAAAGAGGATCAAAGTGACGGTTAGTCTTACATCAAGGGAGGATTTATCTTTGACGACGTTGAAGAATTTATTTATTTAACAAACCGTTAAACTAAATAGCATCCAATTAGTCCAACTAGATTGCTCTGAGCGAATAGAGGTAAACTTTTATGTTCAAGGCTTACAAGCATAACCTATTTGATAGAGAAGAGAGGAGAGAGAGACAGAGAGAGAGAGAGAGAGAGCGATAAACAGAGAGAGAACTTGGTCTAAAATTGAAAAAGTTTATTTTGGAGGCCGTGACAGCGAAATTAATTTTTCTCTGTAGCATAGCAACTTTCTAAGGCTAAGAGTAACTCGAATTAGGCGCGCGTTATTTATTACGTCTCGATTAATATAAATAACGCATGAGAGGCAAATTTGCACGCGCACTGATAAAAAGAGAGCTCCGATACCAGTGTACTACGGGCTTATTAAAACATTAAACCAAATACCTTCTGGTGCGTAAAACTTTTTTTTTCTTGTTTTATTCTCAAGTTTCGTTAAATTTCTTTTTCTTAACAATTATTTATTTCCGGTTTTTCATTTTAATAATTAATTAATTTTTGTTTTAGTTTACTCATTTGAAGTTGTATCATTCTCTAATTTTTCTGTCTTTCCAATCATCATCATTATGTTTTTTTTCGGTAATTATTTTCAACTAGTTTATTGTTCCATTTTATTTAAATGTTTTTGTACTTTATCTCGCAACTCATGGTAAGCTGAAAGCCAATTTTAGGTGATCGAACATATAAAAAAAAACGAACTCGGTACATCTCTTAGAAAGGCTTTCAATAATAGAAATAACATTTTATCAAAATCGTAACTGATATATTTTTTTTAACAGAAATCTGATAGTAATGATTTTTGTAATAACTAGGGATAAATAAAAATAACTAAACAGCATTATGAAAAATTAATAAATTAGTTGACTTCAAAGAAAAATATCATGTAATGTATTATTTCACGTACTTTTGTAATTGCCTTAAGAGGTAAATAAGTCACTTGTTCATAGGTTGAATACATAAACAAAACTTCGATACTACGGATAACAAACTATATTAGAATATATTGTAACGGGATGGATTAGCTGGTTCAAAATAGGTTTATTAAAGAACTAACTCCCACAATGCAGAGCTAACCGCCGCTCCGTTAAACACTTATGAGTATACGTGTATTCGCCTTTACGTATGAGACTTTCGTTCCGATGTCTTCTTTCCAACCAAGATGAACTTACCTTGAGTCATCTGACTTGTGACACTCGATATATTTTAGATGTGAGTGACCTAATGTTTATCCCAAATAATTGTAACAAAACTCTGTCCTTTGTTACCAATTTTTTTGCGGGGTAAATGAGGCACTTTCGCTCATGACAATTGAGGGAGAAGAACGAGGGGAGGATGATAAATAAATTATACAAAGACAGGAATCAAATCTCACTTACAACTTATTATTATTAATAATTATCCACACTGAACATACGCGCACATAACATAATCTAAATTACCGAACAACAAACTACAAATAGAACAATAAACTACTTAAGACAATCACAAATCAACATTTCGCATTTCATCTTAATACCTAATCGCGTACATAACCTATTACAAACTTACTTAAAAACTACACGAACTAATACCGGGTAAATTGCCCGGCACGTGGGCGCCTGGACAATTCACCGGTCGCAACTTACATCACTATAAATTAAACTTAGCGCGAACCTTCAGATAGCCGGCACGTGAGTGCCAGGCTATCTCTTTCAACGCGCACCGGTCGTCGCACCAACAGAGAGAGAGAGAGAGAGTGTAGAGAGAAAGAAGAAAAGGAAGGCTTGACCTTTTATCTCCTGTTCCTCGCAACGTCGAGAATCCTGAGCGATACGCTGCCGCAGGAAGTACCGGGTGTCGTCGCTGGTCAGATCGTCGCTAACCGCTGTCGCTGACCAGGTATCCGTAGGCGACGTTGACTCTCCTAGCAGGTGGGCTGGCAGCAGTTGCTGGCAAAGCCGTTGCCGGTAGGGTTGATCTTCCTTCCTTCCGGCTATCCCAAACTGTTCTCTCTGCTGGGCTCGGACTTCCGCACTCTAGTAGGACTAGGCTTTGACTCCCTCACTCTAGTAGGACTCGGCTGCGACTTTCTCACGCACTAATTCTTGCGCGCATCTTGCAGCCGCTCAGCGGCGCTCGCTCCTCTCCCTACCTTGACCTATTAGTTAGGCGGCACGCGACGCGCCGCTTATCGGTCACGCGTTGCGCGCCTGCCAATCCCTGCATAGGCCTAATACTCTCTCTCTTTCTCTCTCTCTTTCTCACTCTCTCTCTTTCTCACTCTCTCTCCGCGCTCTTCAACTTTTTCTTGCGCTCAACTGCGCTGGCTCTTCCTTGGCGCTGAAACAAAAGGCCAAGTGTCAGACGCATACTTTAATGCGCCTAACGTTGGCCAACACGCCTTGCCGAGTGGGGGAGGGAGAACGCAGACGAGAGACCGGCACACGGTCTGCTCTCGTCACACCCCCTTCCAAGGCCAAAGTTCGCACCCGCGAACGGCCTGACTCCGTTTCTCCCCCTTTCTCTCTCTGTCGACCGGCAATGGCAACCAACGATAGACGCTAAGTCATATAAGAATACCTTAGATTTAGCTTAAATCATAATTAATTCTAAGTTGGTAACAACCAGATCAACTAAGAGCAAAGTCTAACAAACCCAATAGTCTAATCCGA